TGCTCGAAGCCAAGTTTCTTTTCGTATCTACAATTAAAGTAGACAAGATAAGTAGAGCAAGTGGAAAGGGAAGATTAAATGTGAAAGTTGAGAAAGGACACAAGAGAGCAGGAGTGAGCGGCAAAAAGAGGGAACTCGAAGAATGGGAAGAGTAAGAGGAGGATGGGTGGGTGGGGTGGGATGGGAGTAAGAGAAGAAAAAGTCCCGACAGCAAAGGAAGAGTGTTCGGCGTGTGGAAGAAGACGAAAATGGAAAAGTTAATTCTGTAGATGGGTCGGTTAATGATTAAATCTCAACTTCGACCGAGGCTATCCGCCTCCAGCCAAGTGAGAAGAAATCGTAAACGAGGCGGCTCTTGCGACAATCTGCTTTGGCGACTACTTCTGCTGCTACGGTTACTGCGGCCAATTTTGCAACCTCTGCTCTTCTTGCCAAGCCTCGGGACCTCTTGCGCCACCGGGCCCCGCATATGCTCGGTCGCCACCGTTATTTTCTCCTTGTCCTTGTCCACGTTGTTGTTGTTGCTGTTGCTGAGGGGTGGTGGTGGTGGAGAGAAGGGATTTCGGGGGTGCCGGTTACACTGGCCCGACCCGGTCAGCTGACCGTGTCGCGGGGTGTGGGACTGACCCGAAATCGAGGGGGGAGGTGGAGGAAGAGGAGTTGGTTGAAAAAACGGCAAACTCGAAAGGAATCACAGATCAACATGAAATCGGAGCTCTGTCGGTCGGGCGAATGCGCCTCGAGGTTGGCTGCCTCTTGAGGGGGTCGCCGACATGGACAAACAGGAAAAACGGGACCAGAAGAGCAAGAATAAGTGTGTGTGTGTGTGTGTGTGTGTGTGTTAGTGTGTGCGTGCTAGTGATAGGCATTTGTGCGTGATCATTTCTTCTTTTCGGCATTCGGCCAAATGCTGCCTGCTGCGTTTGTGTCAACCGTCTTTTCTGGTGTTGCCGTTGGCCCATTTCTTCAAGTAGCCTCTCTTCATCTCCTCACTCCGACATG